TGTTTTCTTTTTGTTGTTTCAATTATTGGAAGAATCGAAGCTGCCTTGGTTGTTAATCCACTTATAGTTTGTGTATTTTTTTTGGTACAGTTGAAGCCGCCCCTGGTGTTGATGTTGAAGGTCTTGAGGTTGCTAAGGAATGTTTGGCAGAGGTTTTTCAGATTGATCCATCTTCTGTTGATAGTCTGCCAAAAGTTGATTCACTGATTGACATATTCAGTTCACCAGAAGCAACTGAGTGGCATGAGATCAAATCTGATCTTAGTCATGATTATCAGGGATTTTCAGCAGATGCTCCTTGTTCTTCCTCAACACAAAATGCTATTGATGCTGGCTTTGCAGAGGCACCAAAACCCATGGTTCATGCTTCCGCCACCCCTCTTTCTCTTTATAATTCCTCCATTCTGCTTTTCTTTGTAATCCTTAAAACTTACAGTTATTAATCTCTATAAACTGTTCTACATCTTGATGACATTATCTGTTATCTGATGCTATTGCTTTGGCATTGAATATATGTTAACTAATATAGAATTGTTGTTTGGTTCTTGGTTTGTAAATACTTTCTTTGTGATAATGTAGTTCTGTTTTTATTGTCATTTATGAAAGTTTTGTGCTGTTTAGTTGACGTCAAATGTGTTTTGGAATGTAAAAATATAGATTCTTATACACCATTTTGTGTTTTCTGGAAACAAATTGAATTACAACATTTATTACTTTGTCATCCACCATGACCAGTTCGCCTTTTTCTACAGACTTGGGTGGCTTAAAGGAGATGCAAAGGAAGATTCAAAATCTTCAAATGATTGAAGTTTTGAAACTAGCTAAAATTAATCATGCAAGGTTTGTTAAAAGCTAGGGCAGCCTTTGCATAAAAGTGGTTTCTAAGTAGACACAAAGTTCATTTTGAAAAGTGAATAGAAGTACAACCATGACATTTTGTTTATCTACTTAACATTAGATATTTAATTCATTGCTTTTGTTACTATGTGGTTGTGACCATAGACTATTAACCAAGGTTCCAACTGTATGTGTTGTTTAGGTATATGAGTTAGGTTTGGGGAAGGTTATATTTATCACTTGTAAAGTATGCCACTATGCCCTCATTTCTATGTGGTCCTTGAAGTTCCGATTACCATAATCTAATCCCTTAAGTTTGGCATATGTTTCAATTATGTCCCTCCATCCTAATCTGTTATAAATTTGTTATGGAAAGCCTACTCATGATGCACAAGTGACCAAGCCATGGGGGTAATTTTAACCAAACATAAATATCTTTGTACCCAATCAACAAAAACACCATTGCGCTAGGACAAAAAACCTAGCTACCAAACAAGTCCTACACCAAACAAGGCCTACCTCCATTGCACCCCACCTGCCCTCCAACTACATCAATCCTCCACCATCACAAACCTAAAGACACATATCCCCTCACCCTTTAGCAAGTCCCCGACTCGTTGGACACCTTGTGCACTCTCTAATTTGCTCCATGCAACCCCTACTTTGATTTATTGCCCACTTCTCCACTCCACCCCCATTGTCCCTTGCCAATACTTCTCAATCTACCCCACAAACCAGCCCTAACACTTGATTCCCTCCGCACCACAACAACCACAAAACTTGCTCTCCCCAGCCCCTAGTATCCCCTCATAAGGCACCCTAGAGCCCAATTATTCAGCGATTGAACACAGTGAGTTGACTCAATAATTCGCCTACCCAACAACCCTATTCATTAATTAAACCCATCTCTGACCCAACTTATCAATTTAACCATGTTCAACATGTATACATTTAATCGCACCGATGCCATTATCCCATGGACCAGAGGAAGGTTTGTCTTCCTCTTTCTTCTTAGCTTGTGGTCTCATCTCTCTCTTGTACATATATGTATCATTAAATATATATGTTTGTGTGCGCTTTGACAGAGAGAAGTGAGACAATTAGGAGGAAGGTTGAGGCAGTGAGGGAGGATGGGTGGAGGGCAAAAGGCCGATGTGATAGAGGTGGGGGGGATTGTAGTAGACTGGTGTTGGGGCCAATGTTTGCATTGTGTGTGTAGGTGTGAATAATGGAGGTGACTCCAAGAGAGAGCAAACTAATCGGTATAGTTTGGCAACATCACAATTTTGGTCATATAATAGGTTTAGCTGTTTAGGTATGATTGACAATTGGGCTGAAAATTTTCTTGGTCATTGGTTGGTCAGATATATGCAAGTCAAATGCAGTTAGTTCCTAATAAATTTTTGATAGAAGCAGACTGAGTGGCTTGATTGAACAATAAATCAAACTTTGATTGTTGCAATTGGAACAATAGGAACTAAATAGAAATGAGTGGTATACTTCGAGCGGGTAAAAGGTAATTGACTCTTAGTTTTTTTGCTAAACATTATTGAAATCACAGTCATGTTTTATCATTGAATTTTATCACCACTAGAATGCTTTTTGATATGATAGTTCTTTTAGTATGATGGTTTTGTGCTTTGAATTTGTTTTCATTTCGTTTCTTGTTCCCCCGCATTTTCAGGGTAAGGATTGGACAACAGAAGAAGCTCACAATCAAGGTAGAGTTCCACTTTTTCGTGTCTTGGTGTTTTATTTGTACTAGTATGTGGACTCCTTTGATGATGTTATAACCTGATTTTTTTTACTATGTTAGGGTTGGAGCTTTTTTAAGTTATTGCTCCCTTTGTCACATGTTTGGGCTTGTTTATGCTTCTCGGATATTGGTCTCATTTCTTTAATGTTGACTATTTGTGTTTTGGAACCTACCATGCTTTAAAAACTCCATATGTTTTCTTCCATTAATTGTTTCCAACTACATTTTATTGGTGCTTTTTTGTATATTTGGTTGGTAAATGATAGTCTTTGAAGTATTTGAACATTTTTCTAATATGGTTGCATATCCTTCAATTTTGTGTTTGTTAATTTGAAGGCACCTCATTTTTCTCTTTCTCTTCTTTTTCCCCTCTTCTGATAGTTTTTGGTTTCCTATTAAAAGAGGAGGAGGAGAAGAAGGGTGATAGTTCTCAAGTTGAGAGGATTGTAAATTATAGTTGAGTGAGTGGCATGCGTGGAGAGGAGAAGTTAATGTTTTGAGGTTTTGCTTGCATAGAAGAGCAAAGCCAAATATATTGCAGCCTATGAAGTTTTCCCCATTTGTTAGGACAAGGTTTGATGGTCTGGATTCTTTGAATCTGTGGTCGTATGAAAATGAAAACGATAGGAATAGAAAGGCGAAGAAACTTCTTTTGAAATAGTGATAGAAATATTTCACCTTATATGGTTTTGTTTTCAAACCATCATTCTTTATGATATCCAGGTGTCATATTGGTCAACTAGTAATAACCCGTATTTGAAGGCACAGTGCAATTTGAAATTAATCGAACACCGAAAATGACCGCAATAAGTTGAAAATCTAAATCACATCCTTAATACACCACACTTTGCATACATCGTTAATCTTAATAAAGTATTACCAATATAAAGATTCTCTTGAAGACAAATTGCAATAGATAGATGGAAAAAACCCAACTTTAATAATCAAAATGCCATAAATTTTAACAAAAAAAGCATAAAATTCAAAATTTTGAAACTACGTACCTAATTAGATCAAACAATAGCACTCAAAAATATTTATTCAAAAATCAACTTGCAGGGTCAGGAAAAGAAATGTTCATGCCCAAAAGCACTGTGTTATGCTAAATAAAAAAATCACCAATATTTAATCAAAACAGTTTTTGTTCTTTTAAAAAATTTGGGCAGGATTTCCCTTAAAAATAGGACCCCAAGAAAATATCAACTTGTAACGCTAATTACACAATCCAAAGACGACATAGAGGCTTAGTATCAACTAATAATATACAAAGAAATCAATTAGATTCAACCACCAAAAAAATTAATTCCAAATCCAAATAGAAATTTTCAATAATAAAGAAACATAGCAAAGAAAGACAAAATAACTAAACGCGACAATACCCAATTTTTCAACGCAAAACAAATGTGATCAAGCATGTCAACTACTTGCCAATAAAAATAAAATATAAAAGGAAATAAAAAATTAAAAAAAGGATTAACTAAACAACTTGTTTGTACGCAATCATAAAATTATTAGTACCTAAATATCTCAAACACATGAAAATACTTTTGGCCAAGAAAGTCTTGGATACTATTGGTCTAATTACAAATACACCCATGTAGATTGGTCTAATTACAAATGCGCCGCCTCAATTTTTTGAAATTACACTGACACTCCTTATTGTTTACCTACCTATTTCACAAAGTACCCCATCGTTATTGGGAATGTCAAAAGAGTGATTACATCATCAACTTTTTACACTTTAATATCCATATTACCTTCGAACAAAATTAGGCTAATTTGAATGATTTTACTCATATAATCTTGCTACCACAGTGGTAATTTAACCAATCATTTTAATCACGTTTCAAGTGCAACCCAACCATGACCAAAGACATGAGAGAGAGAGAGAGAGAGGGGGGGGGAGAGGTCGATTGTTTAGCAACCAACTATATACCAAAGAAACTCATTTTTAACCCATCCGTATCTCACTTTTTAAAATTACAAACCATAAACACCATAGCCCCTTCAACCATAACAAAAACCATACACCCTTCACCCATAACTAAAAAATTTCAACCTACACCACATCCTAACACCCATTGGTGATACCAACACTCTAGCATATAACATAAGAACCAAAAGCAACTCCCATAAATTAACCACCATTTCACTTCATCAATTATCAACACTGCTTATTAGATCAACTTATATATCATTCAAGTATCTGGCATTCCATGAACTATATGTCAATTCAAATTAATTCAACATTTAGCAAAACCTACAATTACGTTTCAACAAAAAAAACTACTCAAAACTCAGTTGGTCAATAATGGAGTTTTTTCATAACTTAAATTTCGATTCATGTTAATATGGAAACTAATTTGCATCATAATTCACAACAAATATATTCAACTCGCAAGTGTCAATGATGCCATTCACCGACGTTGATGTGTTTTACCATAATCGCACGAAAGTTGAGTTTGGCTTAGATAATCATGTTAGAGATGAAGTCAAGGGCCTCTCAAGCCTAAGGAGTAAGGTCACATGACAGTTTCTTTATTCCACCAAACATATTGAAACCCAAAACTTCGGACCTGTAACAAAAAGAAAAAATTAAACACAAATTAGCATCAAATCAACACTTCCATAAGCATTCACTCCGTGCAATGTAAGGTTATTCCAAAAAAAAAACAAAAAAAGAAATGAGCATTGAGTTTAATGTACAAACACAGGAATTAAAACAACCATAACTTATTATAAGTAGCACGACATATTTGTTCACCAAGTATATAGCAAACAATGGGTAATTATGAGAACTCAACAAATAGGAATATTGGTACCCTGTAGATCATCATATAAAACATGAAATCAAATGACCAACATAAAAAGTCAAACACAACAAATTAAAGAAGCACAACTTGGGAAGTAAGATAATGATAGAGAACCCCTTCTTGGCCTACGACAACACCAACTAACATAAGTTCTAAATTTCAACATGTCAAAATTCTAAAGTTTACACAAACCAAAGTGCCAAAATTCTAAATTTCACACAAACAAAAGCAAAAGAATGACAATAAAACGACAAATTGAATAAACACAACTCGTAAGCAAAGAGATAAGTAACCTCAATGGTACCAATGGAACAACAATCAATTCAAGCATATTCAAATTGAACCTAATCAAACCAAATTCAAAGTGACTACAAACCAAGAAAATTTGACATTAATTCATAACTGGGAGTGTGCTAGATAGTAATTAAAACAAAAATGCTGAAGAAGAAAGAATTTCAAGAGCAATACGACAACGTAGGGAAACCCATACATAACAACAATTCATATAAGGTGCACATGTATATATAACCACATATGAAAACCACATTCAGAAACATATAACAATATTATGATAACCCGTGCCAAAAGGGCTATCAAAATATTTGTCACATGCTAGATTGAACAGTAACACAAAGAATGACCCAAGGCAAAAGAAGCAGTGAAGTTCAAGATTAAGCCACCAATGACAAAAAAACCCAAGAAAGTTACTAAAAAGAAAGCAAAATCAATTCACAAAGAGTTTAAAGGCTCGTAAGTGATATAGGCATGTTCAAAGAAAGCATGACCCAAAATACACCAATATCATGTTACAATCCCATTCTAAAATTACACTTATTCACACCCCCCCCCCCCCCCAAACACACAAAAACCTTAAGCGATATTAAAAAGGGGGGTTATTTAATCAGTCACCTATTACCCTTCTCCAGAATTCTTAAGTACCGGAAAAATGATAAGTAGAATGCATAACAAAAAACTAAGGAAGTCCAACAAAATAAAATTTAAATTAAAAAGAACAACCTATCCTTCAGATGCACTTTAGTAGTTCATACAAAAATCTCATTTCATAATATGTTAGGCATTAATTAAAACACAAATGGTGAAGAAGATAGAATTTCAAGAGCGATACAACAATATATAAAAACCCTAGACATAACAACAATTCATATAAAGATGCACTTGTGCCTTATTAGTGTAGATTGCGAAACTAAACCATAAACCAAGATGATGATAGAAAGAGGTAAAGTAGTTAAATTGCAATTGAATTAAAAAAACAAAATGAAGTAGCAAAAGTGAAAAAGTCTCAAAATGAACAATTAGAGACTTGTTAAGTATATCTAAATTATAATGCAGTCCAACCCAAGTCCTAGTACTATAGTCCGAGGAGTAACAAAGAGAACAAAGACAAAATTCAATTAGCATTTTACTTCTTGTATTATGAGGCTCTAGGAAGGGACAATTTAATTATTCATGGAGCAACAATTGCACAAACAGTAACAATGTGCAAATAGAATTTCAAAAGTCAAACGAAAATAAGTTAAGAAACCCAGTAAAAGTAAAATAAGCAAGAGGACCCAATATTAGTTTGTCTAGCAGAGAAGTAACATCAGCAAACATTCTCATCTTAACTCATGATCACCTATAACGTTTGACACCACCACCACCACCAAAATGGCACCACTACCTAACACCATAATTGCATCCAATCACCTAGCATCGAACTATAAACCAATCAGATATCTATTGAATTTTTAAAAATAAAAAAACATAAAAACTCACACAATTGACAATAAATCCAAACAAATAAAACTTATTATATTCCACCATCAATTTCATACAACAATAACCAAATTTCAACTAACATTTCAATTGACAATAAATTTCATAAAATTCACCATCCATAAACTAATACAAAATTTCAACAATCTTAAAAATTAAGTGTTGTGTGTTCTGTCTGTGTGCGTGAGTGTGTGTTCTGTGTGGTGTGAATGTGTTGCAGAGAGGAGGGGATGGGTATTTTGGGTGGGGTTGGGAGTGGGTTATGCAGGGTAGGGGGTTTGCACAGAAGGGGGAGATTTTTTTTTTTTTTTGGGGGGGGGGGGTTGTTAAGTGTGTGTGTGAGAGAGAGAAGAGCAGAGGGTGGGAGGGTTTGCACAGAAGGGGGAGACTTGGGGGGTTTGTTAATTGTGTGTGTGTGAGAGAAAGAGAAACAGAGGGGGTGTGTGTGTGATAGAGAGGAAGTAACTGGTGGGGGTGGGTTGCGCAAAAGGAGTAGGGGTGGGGGGTTTGCGCATAAATTGGAGAGCTTGGGAAGGGGTTGTTCGTGTGTTTGTGCAGAGAGAGAGATAGACAAATAGAAGCAAAGAAGAGGGATACCTGGGAGAGCTGTGGCGGTGCGCTGGCAATTGTAGTGTTGCTGAAGATTGTGTAGCACAGAAAGATAGAGAGAGAGAGACGAAGAGATGGCGTGAAGGGAAGGCAGGGAAGCGACATGCCTCTGACAGTGAGTGACTGTGAGAAAAGGTTGGATGTGATGGGTTTGGGGGAAAAAATGTGTGGAATAAAATTCAAAGTATGAGTTGTTTTATTATATAGATTACGTATTACAATTATTGACTATTGATTATCCATTTTTATAATTAAATTGTTCATCATGCCATTGGCAGGGATTTCTAAGGATGAACTCTTTGGTCAATTATTTGATGCACTTGAAAAAATCCACTATTTTAAGAGTACATCTGATGGAAATGACGACCAGGTTCAGCTGGATAGGGCAACAAATTTATTTCATAATGCTCTAGAGGTATGATTTATGCTATAAAAGATTTACTTTTGTTGCACCATGAAAAACGAAATCCTGATAAATTTAGTTACATGAGAAATTGCAAAACTAAACTTCATGCATTCATGCTCGTTAGTATTCAGTTTTTGAACAGTTCCGTTTCAGTGTTCGGTGTTGCAAATTCAGTGTGCATACTATGAGAGAATGCCTTGTTTGATCCATTAAATGACTATTTAAATTTTGGTGTTGCATTTCCTAGTATCCTTATTTTTTTAGAAAAAAACAAAAGATATGTGCAGCTTGCAGCTCTTTCATCTGATATCTCACGCATGCTGATGCTTAGTTTTTCAAAATTTTCGACTGTTAGATTGAGTGCTGCTGCTCATTACAAGCTTTCAATTAAATCCAAGAGTTTTGAACAATAATTCTCCTTTAGCTCTTGTGGGTTATTCATTTTATGTTATTTCATGCTAAAGTTGAGAGAAAAAGATGTCAGAAGAGTTAAATACTATCAATATTCTGAATTTATTGCCAGAAAACTCTCCTTTCGTACCTTCGCTGTCCATTTCTAATTGCTTTTTGTGAAGACACACTTAGGAAGATAAGTGGAAAAGGGTAAGTTTCTAGTTTTTCACTCCTGCTCTCAGCCATATTCTGTGGTACAAGAGTTACCTGCTCTCTTGGTGGTTGATTAGCATGCTGTGAAATAATAGTTTTACAATATTATCGTGGCTCTGACTGCTGCCATTGTTCTTTCAAGTAGATCTACTTAAATGACAGGTGGCATACAATTTGATATGCCTTTTTTGAACTTCATATCTTCCGGAAGGTGAACTTCATATCATCCGGAAGGTGAAGTTCATATATTTATCTTATGTTATTAATATTAATTTTAGTCAATTAGTACCTTTAGCTGCGCAGGGAGTGATGCTTGTTTTAGTCCATTTTATTGGCCTAGATACATTCTAGTCGATGATTGAGGTAAAATAAAACATAACTCCATAACCAATACATACAATTTACTATTAGGCATCATAATTAACGCACAGGCATTGCTGTATGGCCTTGTAACATTAGCCCCCAATGGAATCATTCAAGCAATGGAGACGTAGCTATATTCAGAATATTTGTGGGGGATAAAATGAGTCGGAAAATTGCTTGAATGCCTATCCTTGGTTGTCAAGAAAGGGGCTGCAGTTAATGTTAGATCCATTATACTGGTTAGTTTGATGGGGGTGTATATAAGTTGATAATTAAGGTGCTTTTTTTGCTTTTTCTTGTGGCATAAACTGTGTAGACAGGACGGATTTGTGTGGGTGATTCTGTGGGATGTTCGTTATGTTTTTATGGCATTGGGAAAACAAAAGGCCTTTAACTTTGTGGGCATCTGCTTTTATGGCTGTATTTTAGGTAGTGTGAATGGAAAGATTTTGCAGAATTTTTGAGGAAAAGGTTGAGGAATTGTAGTTGTTTAGAGCATCTCTAGCCCTTACCCACTTGTAGACCCAAATTTAAATTTGAGTAAAAAACCTCAAAAATCCATCTCCAACCCTTTACCTAAAACCATACCAAATCAAAGAAAACTCTAACCTAGACCCAAATCAAGAGAGGCTCAAATTCTTTACCCAAAAAGCAACGGCCACATTCCTAGCTCAAAACCCTCCCTGAAAAACAAATCTCAAAAGCCACAGCAAGCCTTCTCACTCTGCCTCCCTCCTTTCACATACCCTGTTTTTCTCTTTTCTATGAATACCACAACATCAAGCTGTCGGAATACCCACGGTATAATGGTGGGATGGCTTGTGAAGAAATCAACTCAATTTTGGACTCCACCGATTTCACTGTTCCTATTTTTCTTTTTTTTTTTACTTTTTTCTGTACTGTGCATTACACTGGGAGGGAAGGGACTATTGAGATGGAAGGTGGTTTTTGGAGGGAAAACAGTTTTTAATGAAAAAAATTGAAGAAATGAGATTTTAGGACAATAAGGGAATTTTTTAAATGATCTGAGTATAATTTGGATTTGTCCATTGGAGTGGTTTGTATGAAATCACGCTTTTCACATAAATTTTTACTCAAATATGAGTAAGGGTTTGAGTGGTGATTGGAGATGGTCTTGGGGATAGAGTTATGTTTCTGACATTTTTGGGTAGTGCTGACTAATGAGTTTCCCGACTTCCCATGCTCGAAATCTGTCCCTTCAGGTTTGTAGCAAGGCGATCCACACGATCTCTAGTCTGCTCTGTCGAGCCTCTTCGACGGCACTAGCCTACAGGTTCTTCACACTAGCCAGGTCTTTGCCTAACCTTTGGCTCTGATACCACTTGGCACAGCACTAAGCTCTTCAAGCCTAAAAACCATGGCACCTTACTAGCAGTCCACTGTAGCAGAGTAAGCTAAAAAAACCCTTACTATCTTATTAGTAAAGCCTACACGTCCTTCCTTAGTGAAAATTAAAGCCCTAATATGCATCCAACATAATCATTTTGTGATTGAGGGAGGTTCTGTTTTTTTTTTCATTTCCTGTTGCTTTTTTTGATTTCTGTTGTATTCGGTTGGATATCTTATCCACCATTTTTTTTGCTATGGGATGAAAGTGTTGCTTCTTATCAAAAAGGAAAAAAAAAAGGTGCTCTCATTGAGGCTTCAAATGGTGTAGGCAATTTTTGAGATCTGTAATGCATTTGTGGGAGGCACATATATTCTTGATACTGTCTTTGTCACCATTTGTCTTATTCTAGAGTTGGATGGTGAGCCTGGATTATTTTGCAAGTGGATTTCAAGGTGGTGTACGATCATGTTAATGGTAGTTTTCTCTTTTTAGGAGTTTTCTTCTCAGTTTTGAAGTGGATAAGTTTGGGGGCTAGATAGAGGAAGTGCACGAAGGGTTCCATCTCATCAGTCAGGTTCTCAGTCATCAAGTACTCCAGAATCTTCTCCAGCTTGAGACAAGGGGATTCCCTTTCACCTTTTCTCTTTCTCAGTGTGATGGAGGCGATAAGCTGATGTCCTCAGGAGCTGACTCTGGTGTATTGATAAGGAGTTTTAGGGTGGGTGAGAAATTGAATGAGAGCAAAAGTGGAGGGGTTCTAAGTGCTTGGCACTGGCCATGCTGTTAGTACCTTTCAGCAACATATGTACCTGAAAATTTGCTTTTGGAACCTAGTTTCCCCAAAACCTAATACCTTTGTGATTTACGTCGATGTTCAATAGAATTCTTACGGAACCCACTTGGTCTGGAACACTGAAGTTATTGTTCATATTTATTATTCTTGTTTCTTTAGTTAGTCTTGGTGTTAGGACAAGAATAAAGGAAAAGTAACAAGCTTTTGCCAGTAAATAAGCTTGTGCATTGCAATGTTTAAAGGAACGACCATTGTGACTAGAACTACCTAAAACATTGTAATGATTTTGGTCTATTTTTTCTCTCTCATGATATTGTTATTTATTTCTTGCACCAGCTATGGGTGCTAGTTCTTGCTTTTTTTCATTCTTCCCTCCAAATGTCTTGACAAGCTAAACACATTATATGTGGCATCAGGAAATGCAAAAATCTGGATGCCAGAGATTTGATCGCAAAAACCTGGCTGAGACTTTGAAATCACAAGGTATTTTCCTGCGGCCAGCTTTCGCATGAGTTAGGAGTTATGGGTATTAAAATTTATAAAAGCATCATCATATTTTCTGACATGTTTGAGAAAATCTTACTCCATTTATTCCTCGGAGTAAGTCATTATAATCCCAGCACATTGTTTTGGAAAGCTTAAATGAATACAATTATGAGCTTGTCATTACTACTATTGCAAAAAATTCTGTTGAAAAAACCAATGGTTATTGAAGAACTGGGTTTGATTTCTTCTTGGACTTTTGATATTGGACAATATTTATGGACACCAATCTCTCTCTCTCTGCAGTCTGCACACACATACGTGTGTGTAAAATTGTATTTTTGGACAAGCTCTTCTGAAAATATTCTTCAGCGGTGGCTATGTTTCTCTTTCACTTCTTTATTATTCATGCAGTTGTCTTATTGGGTGCTCATGCACAGAGTAACTCTATTGCATCTGCATATCAGGCTCAGTTAATTTTGCTTTCAATATAATGCAAGTCTGAATTTCCTTTTTGCAGGTAATAAGGCCATGCAGTCGAAGCTATATTTCGATGCAATTGAGCTGTATACTTTTGCGATTGCACTGAGAGAAGATAATGCTGTTTACTATTGTAATAGGTGCACTACTTACTGAAAAATTCATGATATATGTGTTGAATGTGAAGCCTTATTGGTTGCAACTTAACGAATTTGCTCAAATTTTCAGCACGAATAAGAGTGGGGAGTGCTTTTCAAATGATAAATAATACCATGATAACCATCATTTTACTGATTGTTTTCTTTCTCCAATTGTTTATAAATCATTCTCAACTTATGTTTTTTTTTTGTTTTTTTTTAGGGTGAGCAGGTGGGGAAAGGGAGGTGGTTAAGGGTTTGAAGTT